CTTTCTTCTTTCTTCTTTCTTTCTTTCACTTCTTTTCTTCTTTCTTTTTTTTCTTTCTTTTCTTTTTTTTTTTTTTCTTTTTTTCTTTTTTTGTATTGTCTGTATCACGTCGAAGTTGTTTTTGTCTTTCTCATTGTGCCTCCGTGTCCTTTTCTGGATGTGACCTTGTTGTCGCTGTTGTCTTTGGAGTCGTGACCGTCTTGACCTTAAAGGGCCCCGCTTGGCGTTTTCGATGTAGTACAGTGGTTCCAGAGAGAGAAGGAGGAAGGAGAGCGAGGAAGAGAGAAAAAGAAAGGAGAGAGAGGAGAGAAAAAAGAGAGAGAGAAAAAAAAGAAAACGAAGAGAGAGAGAGAGAGGAGAGAGAGAGAGAGAGAGAGAGAGGAGAGAGAGAGAGAGATGAGAGAGAGAGAGAGAGAGAGAGAGAGAGAGAGAGAGAGAAGAGAGACAGAGAAGAGAAAGAGAGAGCGAGAGAGCGGAGAGAGAGAAAAAAAGAGAGAGCGAGAGAGAGGAAAGAGAAAAGAAAGAAAAGAAAGCGAGGGAGAGAAAGAGAGAGTTAGAGTAAGAGTGAGTCAGTGCCCTCCGCTACTCCTCTTAAAAGTACTCCGGGTGAGTGATGGCGCGTCTCTTGAAATGCTCGCGGCGTCATTCTGCGATTCGGATTACTAAGGTGATTGGAGTGGAGTGGATTGGAAGGGTGGTGAATTTGGGTTGGGTATTTCGACCGGCGAGTCGGGAACTGCAATTCATAATGCACGCCACACGCCTACGGTGCCATCTTCATTCCCCTTTTCCTCTCCCCCTCCTCCTTCCCTCTCTCCTCTTCTCCTCTTCTTATCTTCCTTCTCTTTCATTTTCCTTCCTCTCCCCTACGCTCTCTCTTTTCTTCCACACTCTCATTCTCTCCCTTCCCATCCCTTCCCTCTACTCGCCCCTCTCCATCCCCTCCTCTCCCTGTCCTATCCCTTTCTCCTCCCCTTCCTACCCGTCTCTATCCCTCTTCTTGCCCTCCTCTTCCCGTCCATCCCTATTCCTCTTCCTATCTCTTCTATCCCTTCCATATCCCTCCCATACCCTTCTTACCCGTCCTCCCTTCCCTCTCCCGTCTATCCCTTATTCCTCCCTCCTATCCTTTCCTCTCCTCTCCCCCTTCCTCCCTTACCTCCCTCCCCCTTCCTCTCCCCGTCCCCACATCCCTTCTTCACTTTCCTATCTTCCATCTCCTCTCCCCTTCCTCTCCTTACCCATCCCTCCCCCTTCCCTCTCCCCGTCCCATCCCTTCTTCTACCCTTCCTATCCCTTCCACTCCCCTCCCCCCTCCCCTCCCCTCCCCTCTCCCCCCCTCCCACCCCATGTCAGCTGTGTGTCACGGCCAAGATTCTATCCCTTCCCCCCGCGGCATCACCCCCCCCCCCCCCAGCGAAACCACTTGGAACTGTCACAGGGTCACTGGGCAGGGCGTCAGGCGCTTTTGTGGGTTCAAAGTGTTTTTGTTTTATTATTTACATGTTATCTCTTATTTGTTTTTTGTGTTTTTTTATGTATATGTTATCTCTTATTCGCTTTTTTTTATTTTATGTTATCTCTCTCTTTTTTTACATGTTATCTCTTATTCGTTTTTTATTTACTTGTTATCTCCTTTTTTTTTTTTTTTTTTTTTTACATGTTATCTCTTATTCACTTTTTTACATATTATCTCTCATTCCCTTTTTTATTTACGTGTTATCTCTCATTCGCTTTTTTATTTTTGTGTTAACCCTTATTCGTTTTTTATTTACATTTTATCTCTTATACGCGTTTGTATTTACATTTTTTCTCTTATTCGCTTTTTTATTACATTTTATCTCTTATCGCTTTTTATTTACATTTTATCTCTTATTCGCTTTTTTATTTACGTTTATCTCTTATTCGATTTTTATTTACATTTTATCTCTTTATTCGCTTTTTTATTTACATTTATCTCTTATTCGCTTTTTTATACATTTTTTTTTTTCTTTCTTTCTTTTTTTTCTTTAATCTAACTTTTTGTTTTGTTCTTGTCGCTGTATGTTGAGAGGGATCTCGTTGGGAAAGGGTTATGTCCTGATCAGGTACAACGGGATTTTATTGTTTTTATTATTATTATTATCATTATTATTATTATTATTATTATTATTATTATTATTATGTTATTGTTATTGTTCTATTATTATTATTATTTTTATTATTATTATTATTATTATTATTATTATTATTATTATTATTATTTATTATTATTATTATTATTATTATCATCATTATTATTATTATTATCATTATTATTATTGGTATTATAATTATCATTATATTCTGGCTTTTCTATTTTATTTACTTATCTATTGAAGTATCATATTTTTATTTTTATTTTTTTTTTACTTATTGATTAGATTGTCATATTTTTTATTTTGCTTTTTTATTTATTTACTTATTTATTAGATTATCATATTTTCTATTTTGCTTTTTATTTTATTTGCTTATGTATTCAATTATCATATTTTTATTTTGCTTTTTTATTTGATTTTCCTATTTATTAAATTATTATTTTTATTTTATTTTTTTTTTTTTGCTTTTATATTTTATTATTTTTATTTATTTATTTACCTTTTTATTAATTTTTTACGAAAGTCGTTATTGAGGGTTGATTAAAATCTCGCCAAATCCGATTGACTTATCCCTTCGCGTGGGCGTGGGCGTGATTAGTTATTCATCCCTCGGCTATTTTTTTTAATATAATTTTTTTCTGTTTTTTTAATATATTTTTTTCTTTTTTTTTTGTTAATTATTATTCGAGCGCTGCTAATTACTCGACTTTATTTTTTACTCTCTCACTTCTTTCTCTCTCTCTCTCTCACTTTCTTTCTCTCTCTCTCACTTTCTTTCTCTCTCTCTCTCTCTCTCTCTCTCTCTCTCTCTCTCTCTCTCTCTCTCTCTTCTCTGCGTCTTCTCTTCTCGTCTTCTCTCTCTCTCTCTCTTCTCTCTCTCTCTCTCGCCATCTCTCTCTCTCTCTCTCTCTCCCTCTCTCTCTCTCCCTCTCCCCTCTCCCTCTCCCTCTCCCTCTCCTCTCTCTCTCCCTCTCCCTCTCTCTCCTTCTCTCCTCTCTCTCTCTCTCTCTCTCTCTCTCTTCTCTCTCTCTCTCTCTATATCTATCTATCTATCTATCTATCTCTCTATCTCTCTCTATCACACACACACACACACACACACACACACACACACACACACACACACACACACACACACACACACACACACACCACACACACTCCACACACACACACACACACACACACACACACACACACGCACACACACACACACACACACCACACATGCACACACAAATGGATGTACGTCAATCACCATGAGAGGCGCGCATCCTAGCAAGGCAGGAGTTGAAAGACGTTGCAAAGAAGACGATTCCAAAGGCGAGGTTTAAAAGTTTTCGTTTCTGGGTTGTCACTTTGCTTGCAAGTCGTCTCTGTCTGTTTGTCTGTGTGTGTGTGTGTGTGTGTTTCTTCTCTCTCTTTCTTTCTTTCTTTCTTTCTTTCTTTTTTCTTTCTCTTTCTTTCTCTTCTTCTCTTCTTTCTTCTCTCTTTCTTTCTCTCTCTCTCTCTCTCTTCTCTCTCTTCTCTTCTCTCTCTCTCTCTCTCTCTCTCTCCTCTCTCTCTCTCTCTCTCCTCTCCTCTCTTCTCCCCTCTTATTTTTCCCTTCCATTCGCCAACCTTCCCTCTCTTCCTTCTTTCACCTGTAACCTTTTTTTTCCCTCCTCGCACCCTCCCTCCTTCCCACACTCCTTGCCGTCCAACCTTCTCTCCCTTTCTCCCTGCTTCCCTCCATCCCTACCTATCTCCCTGCCCCA